GCCAGAGAGTAAAGGACCGGAATAAAAATGGAATCAAAGTACATGGTAGACTTCTGATCACATAGTGTAAGTTCTCCACAGCAGGACTCATAATTCTCACTGTAGCTGTCATTGTAATAAGTGTAGAAGTCAAAGTCTTTCAATCCTATGGTGATCTTTGTATCAGCATTCATCTTCTGCCAAAAAAGAAAGAACATAATTTGCATACCAGAATTAGTATCTATTTCTGTCATCCATTGTCAATAGTATTTTAATATCAGGAGTCTGAGTGTTTTAGGTGTGAGATCTTAAACTAGTGAATGCGCTATTATGTGTGTGGCAGCAATTTATAGACTTTCTGCAACTCCAACCCCCCTTGAAAGAACTTGATAATTATGTAAATGTGTGTTGGAGCAGGGCTGGCAATGAACTCTGCATGATGGTAGATCTCCTGGAACAGGATTAGGCACCCCTCTAGTTTGCCACTATTCTTTTTGCAGAAGTAACTTGTTTTGACCAGAAGGGGGTAATGATGAGACATGGTACGTGGTGTATGTACAGGCTTTAAACTCAAGTTAAATAATAAAAAATAAAACAAGTTAAAAAGCAAAAAATGACAATTCTGTTATCACTTATTATGGATTTCAGCCTGCAAAGTTGATAATTACAGACAGCTGTGTTTGATCAGGCTTGGTAGATTTCCAGAAACATTATTGGGCACCTCTGATGATGAATGATAGAATGTTGCATAGTACCGCACGTCCTAGGATTCATCTATAGCATTTTCAGGAATATATTCATTTCCATTTGGGAGCAAAATACAGGAATTTATAAATGCAGTTACAGCAACTTAACATTTGTCACTAAATTAAGTGTTTTCATATTCTGTGAAAAGAGAAGAGAAAATGATAAAAGCATACTGGCCCCAAAGCACATTCACTGATATCTCAGTCATAATGCAGTTCAGTTTCTCATCATTGATGAGACCAAGTTAAATCTCCTGTGACCTTCACGCTTGTGGCTGAGGTAGCAGTCTGTAACCTTCCTGCAGTAGAAATAAAGTCAGTCTGTTTGTGCTGTAGCGAATCAGCTCATGGGGAAATATGAATAATTAACCATAACTAGTTATAATTAACTATTCATATTTTAGATCCACTGTAGATATTTAGCTGACCACTCAGGGTCAACCGTCTTGTCAATTCTAAGAACGTTAATTTCCTGGTTAAAGGAAATGGCTATCCTTCTCACATTCCTGGGGGGTCATAAAACCAGTGATATCATGATTAGTTGTCATGGTGACCAGAGCGCCTGGTGTTCAGCAGACATCCTGGCATCCAGTTAATTGAGTGAGGGGACTGTGACGATTTGTTAACCTAATGAATAATTGATTTGTTAAATCAAATTAAAATTAGTGTGTCAGATTGGTCGAGACGCTACAGTGCATATGTACATATAGTACTTTTAAAGGAGACATATTATGCCCATTTTTACAATGTGTAATATAAGTCTCTGGTGTCACCAGAATGGATTCGCCTTTTCTTCCACAGTATGACCAAAACCAGTCCATTTCCCACCAGCCCGACTACCAGCGCCAGAGAGTAAAGGACCGGAATAAAAATGGAATCAAAGTACATGGTAGACTTCTGATCACATAGTGTAAGTTCTCCACAGCAGGACTCATAATTCTCACTGTAGCTGTCATTGTAATAAGTGTAGAAGTCAAAGTCTTTCAATCCTATGGTGATCTTTGTATCAGCATTCATCTTCTGCCAAAAAAGAAAGAACATAATTTGCATACCAGAATTAGTATCTATTTCTGTCATCCATTGTCAATAGTATTTTAATATCAGGAGTCTGAGTGTTTTAGGTGTGAGATCTTAAACTAGTGAATGCGCTATTATGTGTGTGGCAGCAATTTATAGACTTTCTGCAACTCCAACCCCCCTTGAAAGAACTTGATAATTATGTAAATGTGTGTTGGAGCAGGGCTGGCAATGAACTCTGCATGATGGTAGATCTCCTGGAACAGGATTAGGCACCCCTCTAGTTTGCCACTATTCTTTTTGCAGAAGTAACTTGTTTTGACCAGAAGGGGGTAATGATGAGACATGGTACGTGGTGTATGTACAGGCTTTAAACTCAAGTTAAATAATAAAAAATAAAACAAGTTAAAAAGCAAAAAATGACAATTCTGTTATCACTTATTATGGATTTCAGCCTGCAAAGTTGATAATTACAGACAGCTGTGTTTGATCAGGCTTGGTAGATTTCCAGAAACATTATTGGGCACCTCTGATGATGAATGATAGAATGTTGCATAGTACCGCACGTCCTAGGATTCATCTATAGCATTTTCAGGAATATATTCATTTCCATTTGGGAGCAAAATACAGGAATTTATAAATGCAGTTACAGCAACTTAACATTTGTCACTAAATTAAGTGTTTTCATATTCTGTGAAAAGAGAAGAGAAAATGATAAAAGCATACTGGCCCCAAAGCACATTCACTGATATCTAAGTCATAATGCAGTTCAGTTTCTCATCATTGATGAGACCAAGTTAAATCTCCTGTGACCTTCACGCTTGTGGCTGAGGTAGCAGTCTGTAACCTTCCTGCAGTAGAAATAAAGTCAGTCTGTTTGTGCATATGTACATATAGTACTTTTAAAGGAGACATATTATGCCCATTTTTACAATGTGTAATATAAGTCTCTGGTGTCAACAGAATGTGTCTGTGAAGTTTCAGCTCAAAATACTCGACAGATCATTTATTATATAATTTTGAAAATACCTATTTTGAGTTATCTGCCCCCACTGGATCCCCCAACATTATTGGGCTAGAGTACTGTCAGTCTGACCATGCCTGTATGCCACTAGATCAGAGTGCTGTCAATTGCTGCCTGATTGTTGCATGCAAAGTTTGCATTTGGAGCACTCAACAACGCCATTAGAACAGTGGGCTCTGTCAGTGCTTTGGCACTTTTCAAAACCCTCGCGGACGACTGTCGCGCACAAACAAAACCAAAACACAAAATAAAGTCCAGGACTGGTCCTCTCTCGTCTTTCACTGTCGTCAAAACACTTTTTTTTTTGTTTTGCCATGCAATAAAGTTCAAAGGCCCATTTAAAATATTGGTACAGTAAATAAAGTGCCAATACATCCTTTATTAGACCACTTTGTCGAGTTAAATGCATCCTGACGGAGGTGTCGAAATGCTGAATCAATTAAATCACTTCCAACAGGCTTAATGGGAGCAGCGTCATAGAGGGCAGAGCGTCACGTTATTTAAAGGGGACGTTAACGCTTAACGAGTGGCAAATGATTAAGTAGGGGGGGGGGGGGGGGGGGGGGGGGGGCAATAGGGATTTCGCCTAGGGCGTCAAATTGGCTAGAAACGGCCCTGCCCGTGATAATCCCTCTGCTCCTGAGGGGGAACTCTCCATCCTTTCTCTATCTCAGGAATCAGGATTGGATGAACCCAATATTTCCTTTCTTTTTCTTTTTTTAAGAAGCGAGAGGACAACAAAATCATCCTCACTGCTTGAAGACTCCATTTAGTGCTGTTTGTGAATTTTTTCGCAACTGATTAATACGCATCGGACTCTGCAAGGTTTCTGTGCGTGACTAATTTTTAGGATTTCGAATACGAATAACGCATACGAAAATTTCGGACTCAGTGTGCAGAGACCTTAACACACTGTATAAGCAGTTATTTGAATAAAAAAGCACTCTTAACCAGTTAATTTCATGGAGTGATCTCATTAAGCACACAACAAAATGTGCAGATGTAAATGGTGTTTGTATATGTGGCTTGTCTGGCTGATAGCATGTGGATGAATGCTAGTGTGAGGGTGCAGCGTAGAGGCACTGACCAAGTTTAGTAGAATGGAAGGTGGCTGAAGAGAAAAGTCTTCGGTGAACTCACTGTTGCCAACTAATTTTCAAAGAAAGTTGCTAAAGGAAGGTCGATTTGTTGCTAAAAGTTGCTAAATGACGTTGTGATGTCATTGCGCAATGACGTCATTGCGTAATCACAACGCAAAATTGTCACATCATCGAATCTCAGCAAAAAATATATTTTATATGTTAATTTAGATTTGTTTGTAAAATAATATGCATGATATAATATTAGAATATAAATAACTGTATTTTTAAATACATTGAAGTTTTGAAAACTTACAAATTTTTTTATGATTTCAATGTAAGTTTTTTAATAGCTAGTAAACTAGTAATTCTACACATTCTCAACTAATATGCTTTAAGCAGTGTATTAGTAGTTAGTTAGTATGCTACACTCTAAGAAAAGTCTGTAAAAATAAGGCACAATCTACTATGTTAATATGAAAGAATTTTCCGTAATGGTTTTTTACCTGAACTTTAAATTACGCATTGTGTTTTTGGGTTACAGGGTTACAATGGATGATGGATAATGGATAATGTCCTGAAAGATTTTCCATTTTTCTTACAGTATACTAACTGATCAACAATCGCAGGTACAAGCTACTAACAAACTGTATCATAAATTAACAATTATTAAATTATCAAATTATTATTATTATTATTAAATTGAACAATTGCAAATAGCAGCTAACTCGATTCACGTGATGTGTGTATTGCTAGGCATCTGTGGTTTCCTCTTTTTGTGTAATTTGGATGGAAAATGTGTGCCTTTTTATTGTCTGAGTCTCTTATCAAAAGTTGCTAAAGGTTGCCAAATACATTTTTTAAAATGGCTAAATTTGTTGCTAGGTGCTTTTGGAAGAAAAAGTTGCTAGGGTAGTCTGAAAAGTTGCTAAATTTAGCAACAAAATTGCTAAGTTGGCAACACTGGGTGGACTTCACTTGCCTTTTGGACAGCTCAACAAAGCAGCCGGTCTCGAAAGTGTGATGCTCCAATTCCTGATCTCCGAGTTGCACCAGACAAGCATTCCCAGAAGCGCCGTCAACTGGAAGACACAATTCCCACTTCGCACGGTAACCTGTAATTCTCCTCTCTGTAAACCTTCTCTCATGAGAACTGTTTTCATTTAGACCTCACCCCTTTCCATCGTTAATTGACTCACTTCTCCCATTCCAACAAAGTAAAAGTAAAACA